GTTGCAAAATAATAATTGGTTACCCAATGCATACACTACGAACAAACACAACACATTGTCAACACATATACAAATTAATGATTGATAAAAATATTAATTCACAAAAATCAATCAATCTTTTCTTTGGGTTTTATTTTTTTCAACTCTTTCTTTTTGGAACTTCCTTTAATTGATCACATAAGGTTATGAGGAAAATTTAAGAAAGAAGTGTTCTGAAGAAAGAATTTAATAAAATAAAATTCAAAAAGCAAACTCTTCACATGGTAATTCAACAACAAATTCTAACTAACTTAATTCCTCTATCATTTACAAATCAATACAGCCTAAAAAATCCCATTTATTTTGTCCAAAAACCCAAAGCCATTAATTATATCAATTTAGTCCTATCAGTTTTGTGTATATAACCCTCCATCACCTTCTTCAATCTTCACCTAGACCGATTCAGATTCATTTTGCTTCCAACCTTAAATTAATTTTGAATATTTGTTAGCAATACATGACCATAAGCAAAATATAAAACCAACTCCTTTGGATCTATTTGGTTAGCTCATGGGTGGCAACAAACAAAATTTAGATTGAAATTAAATAAACTATAAGACTAAACTGATATAATAAAATTCAATAGATAAAACAACAAATCAACAACAGACAGTAAGGGGACAATTGTTTATAGGGTCTCAAAAAAGTAATAGGCAATGCGGAAACTATATATATATTTTTTTATCACAGCTTACCAATCCCCACTCCCAAATAAAGGTAATTAAACATAATTAAGTAGAGAAACGGAACAGTTAAAAAGAGAATGAGAGAAACATAATTAATACTCCAAATCATATAAATAGAATAGTTACATAGGGGAACTAAATTAAACAAAATAAAGATAAGTTTCCAAAAATCAGTACATGAAAATTGCTTTTAGAAACCCATTCAGAAACCCATTTTAATAATTGTGCTGGTTCACTTATCATTTTAATATTTTTGGAATCAAAACCATTCAGAAACACATTTAGATCTAAACCATTTCAAAAAATCATTACATGAAATTTACGGCTTTTCCTCACCTCATACCCAACACCACCTTTGCCTCAAACCAATCAATTGACCTGCCTACTAAAAAAAAAGAAAAAGAAAAATGGATTAGTTGGTTTGTATGCTTTCTAAGTGATTGATAACATGTTGTATACTCCAAATCAATCACCAAGAATTTTCCCACAACATTCAAGAGGGCACTTCACCAACATTAAGGGTTGAAAGAGAAACCACTTTCTTCTTCACTTATGAGGTACCATTATGCATAATCATCCAATTAAAAGTATAAAGTAGGTTTAAACTACTTCAAGCATAAAGTACGTGTATGCTATCACTCATTACTCCAAGATGACTAACTAATAATAGCCAAATATTTGAAGAAAAAAAAAGAAACAGCCAATAGGGTTAAAATTGGTTTTTGTTACTCTAGACCTCTTTACTGTTTTTCTTTTACAAATTCTTTCTAGTCCACATTGAGCCAATCTCAGCATTGTTCATAGAGTTGAAAGTATAATTTTTTTATTTTTTTATCACAACTTACAATCCTCACTCTGAAAGTAAAATAAAAAAATGAGAGGAGAAGAAGAAGAAGAAAGAAAGAAAGAAAGAAAGAAAATAAATAATAAATAAATAAATAAATAAAGGAAAGAATAGGTTCAGCTCTTGTACAAAATAAGAGATGATTTTCACCCAATGAAACTAAAATATATTGAGTTGAGTCACAGGGGTAAAGGGAAGAAGAAAAAAAAAATTGACTTTAACCCATCCAATCAAAATTTTAATTTATTATAATCATATTTGTTTGTCACCTCTATTTTAAAATGAATGGCATTTTGTAACATTCCTGTTATGGCAGTTTGTGTGTTCCTGTTATGTTGATGCAGAATCTATAATGTCTATAATGGCCATAAGTTATGGCAGTTTGTGTGTTCCTGTGCGTTCCTGAAGGCACTGACAACAATGTTTTTTGATATCACGTGCTACGAAACTTAGTGGTAATAAATCAATTCAAAATGATAATATTACTCTGATTTAAAACTTCACCTATAAGAAACTGAAATTGTTTCTACACATTGAATTAGCGAAAGCATTTATAAATTTCATTTATCATTTTCATATTTTTGAAATCAAAACCATTTAGAAACACATTTAAATCTAACCCATTTTAAAAAATCATTACATGAAGATAGGTTTCTAAAATCTAAACCATTTCAAAAAATCATTACATAAAATTCACGATTTTTCCGCACCTGATACCCAACACCACCTTTGCCTCAAACCAATTAATTGACTTGCCTACTAAAAAAAAGAAAAGAAAAAGGGATTAGTTAGTTTGTATGCTTTGTAGGTGATTGATAACATGCTAGTTATTAAGTGAGGATAGAGAAAAGTGAAAAAATAAAACTTTATTATAAACACGCCCAATAAAACTTAAGAATATAAAACTTTATTGATAGCCCGTGCCTGAAGGCACGCCCAATAAAACTTAAGAATATATTTTAATTTTATTATAGACATTTGGTTTCTATTAACAAAAACCAAAGTGTAAGCTTCACATCAACACTGAAATGTAAATCGCTTGCTAAACAAAGCACAAAAACCAAAGCTATTGTACACATGTTAACGCTTTATAATCCCAAAAAAAAAAATTACTAAACACCAGATAAAGCACACCAGCAAGTGTTTTGCAATCCCACAAAAATTAAAACTAAACACCAAACAATGCACACCAACCAATACTCTGCAATATAAAAATATTAAAATTAAAATGGACACCAACCAATACTCTGCAATTCAAAAAAATTAAAATTAAAATGCACATTAGTTAGTGGTCTACAATCTCACCAAACAATGTACACCTCCTAGTGCTACTACTGCCAATCACATTTTAACAGTTCTTTGCAAATTATAAACCCGAAATATAGTGAGAAAAATAGAGAAAAAAAAATGCACTGCTATAATTTTTTTAACCACAAAGCACTCCCATATAAAGACCGCTTAAATGGTGAAATTTAGTCTCTATAAAAATAAAAAATAAAAATCCCTAAAAAATAGCCAAATTAAAAGGATTCGAAAAGAATAAGTCAGATGGATTAAAGTCATTTTGAAATAAAAATTAACTAATGTTTGGCTATTTCCAAATCACATCACATAGTAAGCAATGAACTTTCTAACTGCTAAAAAATATGCTAATTCTTGTGGTACCTGCCCCCATGTTCTTCACCTTTTTTCCTCATCTACTTTTACTATCTTCTCTAAAGCACTTGATAAAAAATAAGCACACATATTTTCTCTTACCAATTGAATCATATTTTGAAAAAAATGAGCTCACATGTAGGAAGAACAATGGGACAACAAAAGCAATACACTATGATTTTGTTAGCTTTTATTCCAATGGGGATTAAAACAAATGTGATAGAGACGGGGAAGGGGAAAAAACGTTTGCAATTTATAGTTTCTCTGTAAATAAAATGGATATAAACCAAAAACCCAAATAAATTCAAAAGAAAGAAAGATTAAGGAGAGAAGAGGAGGAGAGGGGGAAAAAAAGTACAAAATACCAAAAGATCCAACAAAAGACCCAATATGTAATAGACCCCAAAAAAGACAAAAAAATTGATGACCTTTGATTATATCGCTTAGAGTAATGAAACAGATATAATAAAAAACAAAAACAATCGCTTAGAGTTTATACCTTTGATTATATCGAAAACCCATAAATTGATGACCTACAACGAAAAGACACAACACAACATGAAAATGGCGGAAAGAAACAAACTGAAATTTAGTAAAACTAATTATTAAAGGGAGAAAGGCACTTCCATATATACTTTAAATGGACAAAGTAAAAAATGGCCAAAGTAAAAGGCTTCCAAAGCCATCCAATAGATAATTTACTTGTGACTAAAGCCATTCCCAAATATATTCTAATCCAAACTTAAACCAATGCCTTATAGATAGAGTGTAACTTTATGGTAACTGTTACATAAAAGAACAATTCAATCCAATAAAACATAGCCCATGAAATATAATTCTGACAAAACAAAATTCTCAGACCAACCTCAATGTAAAATGCAACTACTCCCAAGTCTTCTTATTAGTCCCAGCAATAATATGTCCCCAGAAAAACCACCATTCTTCAGGCTATCAAATATCAATACAATTTACTCATTAAAAATCAGCATATTTATTGATTAAAAATCAGCATCCAATTGTGCATGTAGTGACAAAAACCCAATAGACTTCATGTGTGAAATAATGAGAAAAAGAGAGGGCTAACCAAACCAAAAAGAGAACGTTGGTTTAAAAAACAAAAAACAAAAAAAAAAAGTGACAAAAACCCAATAGGCTTTATATGTGAAAGAATGAGAGAAGAAGCGAGTGTTAACCAAAACCAATAGAGCATGCTGTTTTCTTTTTATAATTGTTATAATTTGAAATGTCAATTTTATTGAATAAGTTCTAATGGTTAAAAAGAAAATTGACATTTCAGCCAAATTGCCACTCACACCTTGAAACACATTACAAATCAGTAGAAAACACCAACACCCAGAAACAGCCAACACCAGCAAACACGACAGAGATGGGCGACAGAGAACAGAAATCTAACCATATTTATAACATCTATAAAGACCCACAAACCTGAAATCCATGTATTATTTTGCTAGGCCACCTGTTGTTTTTCATTTGGAAATGACTGATAAAGCACATATTACTGGAATTTTGCAAAGTAGGTGTTTTGTCTGTTTTTTTGGCCTTTCATGTCTGGGGCTACTTTATGTCCAATTATTTATTTCTTGCTTGTAGATTTTTATTTATTTCTTTATTTAATTTTATTATTATTTTTATAAATTCATTTTTTTAGCTGCCTTATCACTTGATTGTACCACATTACCTATATGATTTGTTAGTTGTATGCTTAATGCTTTTCTAAAACTGTTGTATCTTTATTGCTTTCTAATTGGCTTCAGGGCTTTTCCTCAGGTGGATCTGTGTGACCTAGATTAGATGGAGCAGGTAAAGAACTTCTCATTCCTGTTATTTAGTTATTTTTGTATTTTATTAGACTGATGTCTTTGAACATTCCAGTATGAAAAAGTTGAGAAGATTGGTGAAGGAACCTATGGTGTGGTCTATAAGGCTCGGGACCGAGTAACCAATGAAACTACAGCTTTAAAGAAGATTCGTTTGGAGCAGGAAGATGAGGGTGTACCAAGCACGGCAATTAGAGAAATTTCTCTATTGAAAGAGATGAAGCATGGAAACGTTGTCAGGCATGTTTCCAATTTCCATAATATGTTTGTTTAAATTTAGGTGAATTTTGGTGTTTCTGTTGATAGCACTATGTTTTTAGTATGAGCCATTAAATATCCTGAATTGAGCTACACAACTATAAAAAAAAATCCTAGTCTTGAGCTACACAACATGTATGTGCCGAATTGAGTCAACCTGTCTTTCATCCAAATATTCTTTGTTTTGTGACTATATTTATTTGTACTCTTCTTGTTATTATTGGTGTATTTAATTTAATAACTCCTTTCATTTATTTGCATACTTCTATGTATCATACAGGCTTTAAGATGAGCAAAATGTATATTTTTTTGACAACTTCATGAGTTGGTCTACATTGTCGGCTGAAATTGCATCCTTAGAAAAATTGAAATTGGATGAGAGTAGGAACAATCCTTATGAAATGCGTGACGTAGGAGGAGCAACATGATTTGATGATGTGTATTCTAACAGCTGTTTATGCGAGCATGCACCAATAACAGCATGTTTCTAGCTTGTGCTTTAAATCAATCGTAAATTATATACACACAAAAAAAAAAATATATGAAATTGCTTTAAATCAATCACACACTTAAAATTCAATACAAAACATGTAAATTCTAAAAAAAAACTTCAAAATTCAAATAATTAATAAACAAAACTTTCAAAAACCGAGCTTCCTTATTATATAAATGATTTAAAGCAATACCCTTTGTTAATAAAACAAAACATATTTATAAGTTTGTTGACCCTTTATGTTTCAGTTGAAATCTATCTACCTTTGCCTAATCAAATCTTTGTTAGTTGAAATGGTCACTGTCTAAGCCTCCCTACACTTCAACAACTTCGGAGTTAGTAGAGATAGAGGTCAATGGCCATGTTTCATTACTTTCATTGGATTAGCAATTGGAAGGAAGTAAACCATGTTTGGACGTGAAAATAAGATTTTTTTAAAAAATGAGATAAATATGAATAAAATATAAATTAATTTTTTTTTCATTTCCATTTTACATTCCAAATCTCTATTCAAATTCATCGTCTAAACATAGCATAAAAGAAAATTATTCGGTACCCATGAGACATCATATGGCACATTTCACACACCAATCACAAACTAATAGTATGTCTGTTGCTATTTTTTCAGAGAAAGACTCTCCTTTAGTAATGAACCTTATAATCGTACTAATAAACCTTATAATCGTACTAATGAACCTTATAACCTTATAAGACTCTCCTTTATCACAAACTAATAGTAATTCTAAAATCGTACTGATCATCTGAATCATCTACCTCATCGAACCATCAGTGCAGGTTTAAAATTGAACCTTATAATGAGATATGAAGGAACCTATACCTCTGATAATATATATCTAATTATTTACCTTGGAGTTTGGAGGGTTCTTTCAGAATTTGGGTTTGCTGCCTCTTCGCTTCTGTGTATGAGGCTAACGCAAGTCACGTGCCGTCAACGGAGTGCAATCTTCATCAGGTTTGCTCACCTGAACCGTATGTATGATTGTTTGAACACCATTGTTCCCTGTTCCTCTTTTGCAACGGCTCCATCGTCAATGGGGTTTGGGGCTGCCATTGCTGATGAAGATTGGGAGAGAGAGGGAGGAAGAGAGATGATGAAAAGAGTAATACCGGGTTTGGGGCTCAGTCGCTGGCAAGGGTTGGGCGGAATGGGCTCCGCTGGAGGTAGAGAGAGAGAGAGGGTGCCGTCGAAGAGATGGAGGGAGGAAGAGAGAAGATGATGAGAGGGAATGGGCTCCGACAGGGAAGGTTGGGCTCTGATAGAGAGAGAGAGAGAGAGAGAGAGGGAGAAAAGAGAGAGAGAGAGAGGGGCTGCGTTTTCAAATTTTGAAATCAAAAAGAGATAAATGGGAGAGACAAATGGGAGTGAGAGAGAGTGAGAGGCTGTCTGTTGAGAATCAGAGACAAATGGGGAGAGATATTTTGAGCCATTAGATTAAATCAATCTAACGATTCAAATTTTGACACAGGTATAAAGATCACATCAAAATTCAAAAACTGAGCTTCCTTATTATATAGATATTAAATTTTTTATTAAATAAATGATTAAATGTTTTATATTGACGTGAACTTCAAAAAAACGTGAATATCATATTTATATGAAATATTTAGGCCTCGTTTGGGAACTCTCATTTTTAGTTAAAAAGTTAAAAAGTTACTAAATTAGTCAAAAAACTAATAATCCATACAAAAAAGTCAAAGATTTTCTTTTCTCTCTACTTTTTGTATATCTTTTTGTAAAAAGCTAAAAAGTCATCCCAAACATACTAATTTTTTTAAGCTCAGCCAAAAAGTTACTAAATTAGCATGTTCCCAAACGAGGCCTTATTCATTTATTTAGTAGAAAAGTTGGGAGCTATAGTATTTTCCTTTTGAATATAGTGGAGACCAACCTAACTTTTTTTAATTTTTGTTTGTTTGTTTGTTTGTTTTTTTTTTTAATAAAATGGTTAGGCTATAGGGTTGGTTGTAAAGATGCAAGTAGCAGTACTAATTAAGGAAATTTTCACTTTCTGAAGCTCTCTCAATGTGTATTTTTTTCCTTGTACCTTTAATTTTATATTTTTAATAAAAATTTTACCTTGTCGATAAAAAAATAAAATAAAATAAAATAAAATAAAAACACATATTTTGTCAATAGAGACCATGAATGAATAAAATACATGGAGATTTACATGTAAGTCATAATAAGTAGTAGGCATACTGTTTAATAAGTCTTATAATAATTAATAATATTTTTTATCAAACACTATTAAAATATCACTAATTGTTAATTTTCAATGACAATTTGAAAATTTTATCATAAAAAATGTCACGAATTAAAAGTATAGTAACAGTTTAAACAAATCGTCACGAAAAAAAATACTAATTTTCAATTTTCAATGACAGTTTGAAAATTTTGTCATAGAAAAATATCATTAATTATAAGTTTTTGCGACAATTTATAAAAATCATGATAAAAAAAAAGTTATTAATTATTAATTTTTAGCGACATGTAAAAAATCGTCACAAAAATTCAATTTTAGTTACGATTTTATTATAACTTATTTTTAATAAGATAAGATGAAAATTAAGGCTAAGTTTGGGAAGACTAAATAAGTGCACTTTTTGACTTTTTTTGTATTATGTGTAGAAAAAATAGAGAGGAGATGTTGATTGATGTGACCTAAAAAAGATAAAAAGATGAAATAAGTGCACTTTTTTAGATTAGTCAAACTTGACCTAAATCTCATTATTAAAACTTATTAGTAGTTTATTCTAAAATAAAATAAATACAATGCAGAAGAAGCATGGTGAGAATGCGTTTGTACCAGATTTGACATTCCAACGGAGGATTGCCACGTGTTTATTTGATGACTTAAACTAGGTTTCCTTAGTCTATTTATTGTGGTCGCGGATTGTTTGGAATGGATGGATGAAAGCAATCATGGTTTGAGTTGGTCAAATCTTTAAGAAAACGGGATCACGTGGACATCCTGTAAATATATATATTATTATATACGTATATAAATGCAGATAACGTATCGAGAGGACAAGTGGCAGCAATATAAAATAAATTAGGGAGAACATTTATGTAATGATTAGTACATTCGAAAATTAATTGGTTTAGTTTTATGTTTTAGCAAAATATACCTTCAAAAGCGTAGATGGATTTTCGTGATATTGTGGATCTGGAGAAGAAATAAAAAAATATATATGAATATCAATTATGTCATTTAATTAGATCTAGAATTTTTTTGGGGAGAAAAATAAATATATTTGTTTTCTTTTTTCTTATATATATATATATATATATTAACCAATCTACGCATTCAAGATCGAAATATCATTGGATCCCAAATGGTAATTCAAGAAGTAGGTTTAGATGGTAAATATGCATAAAATGTTTAAAATATTTTTTTATTAAGTGGGCGTTTGAGAAATTGTTATTTTAGGAAGTTATGTTAGTAGGCTAAAATTTTTGTGTTTGAGAAGATTATTGAAATTTTTTGTAGTTGGATGTGATGTTTGTGAGAGAAAAAGTAAAACGATTATGAGTTTGATGTGACATTTTGTCTTATTGACTATTTTAACATATTTTGTCTTTCAATAATAATTTAGTCAAAAAAACTAAAAAAACGTCTTCCCAATGACTAATATTTATATTTTCCCATCAATTTACTTAACAAAATAGACAATAGTTTAGATTTAAAAAAATTTAAGATTTAAATTGATAAAATTAAAAACTCAAAATTAATTGACTAATATTATTGGACATCATTAAGTTAACAAACATTTCAAAGTGTTTTCCACAATGGTTGTTTTAAAAGCACATAGATTGCGTGTTTTATTTAATATATTAAAGAATACGGTAATGTTATGGTATGTATCTTAAAAAATGTGTTTCATATATAAGTTATAATATTTGTGAGGTTGATTATCACAAATATCGTAACTCAATATTATAGGAGTCATAATTAAAAAAAATAAATTATAATCAAACACCATATAAAATATAATTAAAGAGCTGTTGAATTATAATTAAAATAATATCACAACCACCCAACATGTATAATTAAATCATAATTAACACTGCAATAAGTGATAACTAAAGACTGCCAAAGTTAGACATATAGATAAAATTTCCCTAAAGAATAACTATCACATTACATATACCCTTACGTTAAATTATTGATGAGATGTTTGAGCCTAACTTATTGAATAACAATGCACATAAAATAAAATTGTTTGAAAAATGGCTTTCACATGGCCTTAATTGTTTGAATTGTTTATAGATTTTTATTGTATCAGCTTGGGTGAAGGCCCACAATCTCTCTGTTTGATTACTCTGTTAATGACTTTCTAAGGTGCATTGATGGTGTTAGAATGTCAAGAATTTGGAAGAAAAGGAAAAAGAGCCAAGGGGTCTGGCTCCTTAGATATTTTGTTTTGTGTGGTTGTTGTGCTGTTGGTTGTTTTTGCCTTGTGTTGTTGGTTGGTTGCCATTTGTGTCTTCTGTTTGGGTGTTTTGGAAGTTGTTTGATTATTAGGCCGCTTAATTATTATCTAAAGTTCATACAAAAAAACTTTAAATAATTTTTAATGTTGAAGGTCTCAATTTTTTAGGAGAATAATACAATAAGACCTCATTTAAATATTTAGCCTATTGTTGAGTGTCACTTGTTGGGTTTTGATTCTACATATGATTAACTTTAAAGCATTTTCTAAAATAGTTGAGATATGTTTTAAACAATAATGTTCTTTCTTTTTTTCATTCGTGTAATTTGGATGTATTTCTTGTACTTTTGATTTTCATTATTAACAGAGTTTACCATTATCAGGCTGGAAATCATTTGAAATTTTCGATGTACTCTTCTCAAGTGTGCATTCAAACACTCAGAAAAAGTTAATGATAATTTGTACCGAAAATTTCATATCCCTTAATAGTTAAGTTACCTGCAATTTCTGCCTAGTGTTGCAACCTAACATTATCTACCATTGGAAAAAATATTGAGTGTATTGCTGTGACCGCTCAATAAAAAATTGCAAATGAGATTAAGTGAACTATTCTTGTCTCCCACAAATTAAAAAATATTGTGTTTCCTATCTCAAAATAAGATTTTTCATTGGATAGTAATACCATCACATAGTATTGTCACATCTAATATTTTTTTTTTTTGATCGGCAAAAATGAAATATTTATTGATGAAACATACAGGGTGCAATATTACATCAATAAAGAGGAGCTTGGTGCTAAAAAAGCACCAAGCGCCAGCTGGTGAGGAACCAACAAGAGAGAGCAAGAAGGAAGAGCAAGCTAAAGGATAGACTAAATTAAAAAGGAACTAAGAAACCAACTGATATACACAGCTGGTATGAGCCAAACCAGTGACCAACCAACACTAGCAGAGTATGAACCAAACCAGTGACCAACCAACAATAGTGTCCACCCAGACCAGCAGACCCCATAGCCAAGCAGCATGTACCCACTACCTATGCACCAAAGCATAATACCAAAATACTAACAACACAAAGCTTCAGCCTCAAGGATCAGAACACATTAAATGAGTGTTGTTAATAACGCAGATGCATACCCAAACAGATTCAAGACAGATTTATATCAGCTCAACATCCTACCACTTGAACCCTTCCAATTTCAAGACAAAACAGATTTAAACACAGCAACATAATGCAACCCAAGGATCAGCACACAGATGCAACCCAACATAATAACACAGATGCATACCAGCGGCCGAATCAGACCAGGGCTCAGATACAGACCAATGGCAATCAGACCAGAATCAAACCAGCAACAAAACACAGATTCAACATATGTTGCAACCCAACAAATAACACAGATTCAACATAATGCAACCCAACATAATAACAGAGATGCATACCAGCAGCAAAATCAGACCAGGGCTCAGATACAGACCAGTGGCGTAATCAGACCAGAATCAGACCAGCAACAAAAAAACAGAAACAACCAATACTACACACAGAGACAGATTTGCTTCAGGTTATAAATGACATCGTGCACCGAATAATTAAAACCCTTTAAAGATGTGGCTACCCACAAAGCTACTCTAGCCTTTATTAGCTCTTCCAGAGCATTCCACTCCAGCTGTACCTTGTTAAATAAACAGTCATTTCTACTTCTCCACACTGACCACAAAACTGCTACCGGAATTATTTTCCAGACAGCTAGCATCTTCTTCTTCATTCTTATACCTGCCCACGACAAAAGAAGTCCCTCTACTGTTCCAGGACTAACCCATTTGTAATTCCACCAGTTCACTAAATTGGCCCACAATTTCCAGATAAAAGGGCAGTGGAGAAAAACATGGTTAACGGTCTCCAACTCAGCTCTGCAGAACACACAGAGCGCAGAGGTACTTGGACTCAACACTCCAATACGTTGCAAAAATTCAGAGCATTTTATCCTTCCTTTCCACGCTAACCAACTCAAGAATTGGACTTTGGGAGGGGCTAGATTATTCCAAATGCACCTAGTGACTGTCAAATCTACCCCTTGCCTTGCTTCCACCCACATCCAAAGTGATGCAACAGTGAACTCTTCTGACGGGTGAGCTAACCATGAACAAGAGTCTACCACCCCTTCTTGGAGGCTAGGCGCATTCCACAGAAAATCATTAAGTTTTTGCACTTCCTCCTCTTCCCATGCTAGGAGGGGACGTCTGAAGACCAGATTCCAATCTGAAGCTGACACCTTTCTGTTGAAGAATTCAGCCAACTTCCCATCTTTTTCAACTGATAATGTGAATAATCTGGGAAAAAGCACACTCAGATTTTGGTTGAGGCACCACTTATCATTCCAGAATTGCAGTCTTCTACCATTTCCGACAACTAGCCTGAAATTTTGCAAGAAGAAATCACGCAAGGCAGTGTTGGCTCCAGCCACTGATATTATATCCTTCCATGTGTGCGACATCCATACTGAACTAATAGATAGGGGACACCATCCGCCTCCTAAACCTCCATACTTACTACATATCACTTTTTTCCACAGAGCTGTCACCTCCTTGCCATACCTCCACCACCATTTTACTAGTAAGCACTCATTAACCTGGCTTAGGTTTCTCACCCCCAACCCACCTTTAGTTTTACTTAGGCATATCTCCTTCCAGTTAATTAAGTGCACTTTCTTACGAATTTCAGTCCCTCCCCAAAGGAAGTTAGCTTGAATTTTGTGAAGTACTTTTGCAATACCCACAGGCAACTTGAATAGGGAGAGGAAGTAAATTGGCAAGCTTGACAGAACGGATTTGATCAATGTTAATCTTCCGGCAAAAGAGAGATACCTTCTCTTCCACGAAGCTAGTTTACTCTTAAACTTGTCTGTCACAGGTTTCCAAGCAGCCTTTCTCCTCGGATTTGCTCCTAGTGGTAGCCCCAAATAACTCATTGGCAACTTTTGACGTAGGCAGTTTAGTTTTTGTGCCAGGACCTGAACAATATCATCCTGCACACCTACCCCACACACCTTACTTTTGTGGAAATTTATTTTGAGTCCAGACATCAACTCAAAGTACCTTAAAATTCTTTTTACGACAATAACTTCCTCCCACTCCGCTTCACAAAAAATAATGGTATCATCGGCAAACTGCAAGTGTGTAATTTTCAACTCAGTTGGACCTGCAGATACTCCTCTAATCAAGCCCACTTCCTTAGCTCTTTCCAAGAGAATGTTCAGACCCTCCGCTACCATATTAAAGAGGAAAGGAGAGAGTGGGTCACCTTGCCTAAGACCTTTCATGGGCGAAAACTCCGAAGTAGGTGAACCATTGACTAGCACTGAGATACGAGCTGTGGATAGGCAAGCCTTTATCCACCCCACCCATTTCTCTCCAAAACCGAAATTTGTCATCATCGAATACAAGAACTCCCAATTTACAGAGTCATATGCCTTTTCAAAATCCAGCTTTATTAACAGGCCTTTCTTTTTTGACCTTTTCCACCAATCCACCACTTCATTGGCAATTAGGACCCCATCTATAATATGCCTTCCGCTCAAAAAAGCAGTTTGAACTTCACTAATAATCTTGGGTAACACTTTCCTCAACCTTCTTGACAAGACTTTAGCTACAATTTTGTATACAGAGCTGATCAAGCTGATTGGCCTATAGTCGCCCAACCCCACAGGGTTTTCCTTCTTAGGAATTAAGGTAATGAATGAACTATTTATTCCTTGAGCTAGCTTTCCATTAGAATGGAATTCATTCATCAATTGCACAAACTCACCTTTCATGACGGCCCAACATTGCTGGATACACTTTAGATTAAAGCCATCCGGCCCCGGTGCTTTATTCCCATCACAATCTTTGATTGCTTCCCAGATTTCTTCCTCAAAAAATTCTGCCTCTAACAGCTCGGTTGACTCAGTTGGACTGATTGAGTCAAAGCCACCTGCTAATCTTGGTCTATACTTCCAATCTTCAGTGAAAAGGTGCTTGAAATGACTTGCCACTTCCTGTTTTATCATCCCAGGCTCATTCTGAATCACACCATTCACAGTAACTGAGTTTAACAAGTTTTTCCTTTGCCTTTTGGTTGCCATTAAATGGAAAAATCTGGTATTTTTGTCCCCATTTTCAGCCCAGACCCTTCTAGATTTTTGAAGCCACAACCAATCCTTCTTCTTACTTAGATCCCAAACTACCTTTCTTTCTTATTTCTACCCTTCTTTTGATCTCAGCTTCCTGTAGATTCCTTCCTTCAGCTAATAAATCCCACTCATGCAATTCCTCCTCTGCTTGTTTCAGCTGCTCATCAATATTACCAAAGACTTCAGTATTCCACCTCTTCAAATGGATTTTCAGGTTACCCAATTTTTTCAGAAGCCTGAAGCTAGCCCAACCTCTAACCTGGTATCCTTCCCAACAGTTCTTCACTTCTGATTTAAATTTGGGATGCAAACACCACGCATTAATGAAGCGAAATGGTTTTGGGCCCCAATCCCTCTCATCCTCCATAAGGATTACTGGGCAGTGATCTGAGATACACCTAGGCAGTCCCCACTGTTTAAATTTGAACTCTTCCAGCCACCTTGGATCGACTAAAAATCTATCAATTCTACTCCATCTATTTCCATCCATCGCATTACACCAAGTGAACTGCCTGCCTAACATTTGCATATCTACTAGCTCTAATTTTTCAATAAATTCATTAAAATCCTTCATCCCTCTTTCTCTTCTAGAGCACCCTTTTCTTTCGCTCATAAATCTGATTTCATTTAGATCACCACCTAAACACCAAGGGCTTGGGAATGATGGATTCAGTGTTTCGAGGGACTTCCAAAGCTGCCTCCTTTTAAGCACATCATTGGGTGCATAAACATTAATAATAGTGCAATTAAAAGTATGATGAACCATACCTGATAAAATCATGAAATTCCTGGAGCTACAGCACTCCTTAAGCTGAAAAGTCTGTGGATTCCACAAGGATAGTAAGCCACCAGCACTTCCTTCTGCACCCACCTCCATGTACTCCATCTCCTCCCACGGCCATAAGGACTTTACAAAATTATCATCTACTGAGCTTCTCTTAGTCTCCTGTAACAGAAGGACATCTACCTTCCTCTCCCGAACTAAGCTCTTTACTTTTGTTCTCTTCTCGGGTCTTCGTAGGCCCCTAATGTTCCATGATAATAAAATCATTAATAATCTACACATTTCCTTCAATCACCTGCCTTAAGTCCAGACCAGACTTACGGAGCTGCAGCTTCCCCTTCTACTCTCTCCATATCCTTTTCTTCGAGTGCAGTCAACTTACCAATCACCTCATTCTCCTTACCTTCGAAATCCAATCCCAAGATTTTCCCAACTTCCATTGTAGCTTGGGCTTCATTTAATAGCTTATTTCTCCTCCTGGTGTTGAGGCTTCATTTATACATTTTTCAGCCATGCATTAGAGGAGTGAGAGAGAGTGATCTTGGAAAAAAAAAGAGAGAGGGAGAGAGAGAGAGAGAGAGAGAGAGAGAGAGAAGAGAAGAAGAAAAAGAAAAACGTGTTGAGTCTTGTACAGCAAAGGTAAACCTACATCACTTCTTCTCTCAAGTTCTTTTACCACTTGTTTTTCCCCTCCTAATACATGCTCTTTGTATATATATGTCGTAGTCGAGGCCTACACTCATGTATAAATGTGTATTAATCAAGAAATGGTATGCTTCTCTTTCTTTCTTAAATTTCCAGCAGCAAATCTTTTCCCTCTCTTGACTTTATTTTCCTATCAAAACTCCATAAACTCGAAATCTGTTTCTCTAGTGTAATATTTGGTATGTCTAGAGTATGTGATAATTTTGATAGGACCTAAGGACGTATTCTTATAACCTAAACAATTTTTCTAAGTTTGTTACTCACAGAACCAGAAAAACAGTCAACTTTATCTATTTTTAGAAAATTTCAGAAAAATAATCTTGAGCCCAATTTTATGTCAAAATATTAATCTTGGTGTTATATTTCAACTAAAATTTGTTTGAACTCAAGGGAGTAAATGGTTTGAGAGAAAAACTGATTTGCGTAACGGTTAATAAATCTGGATAGATCTTGGTAATTCTAAATTATCTTAAAATCTAAAATACCTATCCTATTTTCGTAAATTGAGTTTGAAACTAGACTTATTTATCTACAAACTCATATGAGGCCAAGTACTTAGGGCCAATAAAAGTATTTTTTTCATAATTATTTTCAAATGGCTCAAATATGGAAATCTAGAAATTTTGTGTTAATATGCTCTTATTTGGTTTGCAACTTTTATATTCTATGTTTCTTGAATGTCTTAGTCTTGATATGTATTCTATGATAAATTGTGAATTTTCTTTACCATGAATAAATTACTTGTTGTTTAGTTTCGATTCGTAGTTATATTGACCATGCTTTGCTATAAGTGAGAACATAATACACTTAATAAAGGGGAAATGAAATGGGATGGTAATGGGTTGCGATCATTATATTAAATTTTATGAGATAATGAATGATGGATTCAAGAGTATGATATAGTGGAATGTATTCCATTTTTTGTGAAATCTTGCGCAAGTGTGCTTTCAAACCCTAACGTGGCATGAGAGGTATTTTGGTTACTTAACGGAAATGGAAGGCATAAGGGTGGCAGTGAGGATCTCACACTGGAAGAATATCCGTAGAAGCCCGTTCCCTTGGGGCAGATCGTGATGTCACCACTCAGGCATGTAACCTAGGTGCGTGGGCATCATTGGTAATTGTGCGATAAGCGACGCATTGGTATTGTATTAACCTAGGGGGAATCAGAATTGCCTGTGGCCAGTGTTAGTGGTTGGGTAGGAATGACATTCCGCGGGGAGTTGCCTAGAACTAACTAAAATTGTCTATTATTCATGAGAACTGAAATTTAATTATAAGCTCTACTTAATTATTGCTTTCATTGTATGTTTTGATCGTGCCGTTATGTTACTTGCGTATTTGGAATGGGAAAACGGTTGGGTGTGTGTGTTTACTGGGCATTCCAAGCTCATGGCATTTTATGCCAGGTGAAGGCGTGTTTTATACTGAGAACAGAATCCCTAAAAGCTTTGTAGAACCATAGCTACCTTAGAGATTGGATTGTATATTTCATGTATTTGGGATAATCTTTTTGTATCAAGGAACTGATTTGTATTTAAAGATTTGAAGAATTTTATCTGTAACTATTAACAATATTTTCTTTAGTATAATTATTTGTATTTTGTGCTTAAAAATGATGTGTATCTGCTAGTTAAACCCCGATATATTGTTGTATTATATTATCAAAATTTGGGACGTCACACAAAAAGTGTCTCCTTAATAGAGGTGGCTTTTGTTGTCTTATAAATAGTTAGATTGATCGCGGCAAAAATGAAATCTTTATTGATGAAACATACAGGGAGCAATATTACATCAATAAAGAGGAGCTTGGTGCTAAAAAAGCACCAAGCGCCAGCTGGTGAGGAACCAACAAGAGAAAGCAAGAAGGAAGAGCAAGCTAAAGGATAGACTAAAATACAATGGAACAAAGAAACCAACTGATATACACAACTGATATACCAGTGACCAACCAACACTAGCAGAGTTTGAGCCAACCAGTGACCAACCAACAATAGTGCCCACCCAGACCAGCAGATGCATAAAACCACAGATGCACACCCAACCATCTGTGTTGTTAATACCACAGATGCATACCCAAACAGCTTCAAGACAGATTTATATCAGCAGATGCAACCCAACATAATAACACAGATGCAGACCAGTGGCAATCAGATATAGAGTCAGACCAGAATCAGATGCAAAACACAGATACAGACCAATGGCAATCAGACCAGAAACAGACCAGCAACAAAACACAGATTCAACATATGTTGCAACCCAACAAGTAACACAGATTCAACATAATGCAACCCCACATAATTACACAGATGCATACCAGCAGCAGACTCAGCCCAGGGCTCAGATACAGACCAGTGGCGTAATCAGACCAGAATCAGACCAGCAAACAAAAAGCCAGAAAACAGCCAATACTACACACAGAGACAGATTTGCTTCAGGTTATAAATGACATCGTGCACCGAATAATTAAAACCCTTTAAAGATGTGGCTACCCACAAAGCTACTCTAGCCTTTATTAGTTCTTCCAGAGCATTCCACTCCGGCTGTACCTTGTTAAATAAACAGTCATTTCTACTTCTCCACACTGACCACAAAACTGCTACCGGAATTATTTTCCATACAGCTAGCATCTTCTTCTTCATTCTTATACCTGCCCACGACAAAAGAAGTCCCTCTACTGTTCCAGGACTAACCCATTTGTAATTCCACCAGTTCACTAAATTGGCCCACAATTTCCAGATAAAAGGGCAGTGGAGAAAAACATGGTTAACGGTCTCCAACTCAGCTCTGCAGAACACACAGAGCGCAGAGGTACTTGGACTCAACACTCCAATACGTTGCAAAAATTCAGAGCATTTTATCCTTCCTTTCCACGCTAACCAACTCAAGAATTGGACTTTGGGAGGGGCTAGATTATTCCAAATGCACCTAGTGACTGTCAAATCTACCCCTTGCCTTGCTTCCACCCACATCCAAAGTGATGCAACAGTGAACTCTTCTGACGGGTGAGCTAACCATGAACAAGAGTCTACCACCCCTTCTTGGAGGCTAGGCGCATTCCGCAGAAAATCATTAAGTTTTTGCACTTCCTCCTCTTCCCATGCTAGGAGGGGACGTCTGAAGACCAGATTCCAATCTGAAGCTGACACCTTTCTGTTGAAGAATTCAGCCAACTTCCCATCTTTTTCAACTGATAATGTGAATAATCTGGGAAAAAGCACACTCAGATTTTGGTTGAGGCACCACTTATCATTCCAGAATTGCAGTCTTCTACCATTTCCGACAACTAGCCTGAAATTTTGTAAGAAAAAATCACGCAAGGCAGTGTTGGCTCCAGCCACTGATATTATATCCTTCCATGTGTGCGACATCCATACTGAACTTATAGATAGGGGGCACCATCCGCCTCCTAAACCTCCATACTTATTACATATCACTTTTTTCCACAGCGCTGTCTCCTCCTTGCCATATCTCCACCACCATTTCACTAGTAAGCACTCATTAACCTGGCTTAGATTTCTCACCCCCAACCCACCTTTAGTTTTACTTAGGCATATCTCCTTCCAGTTAATTAAGTGCACTTTCTTACGAATTTCAGTCCCTCCCCAAAGGAAGTTAGCTTGAATTTTGTGAAGTACTTTTGCAATACCCACTGGCAACTTGAATAGGGAGAGGAAGTAAACTGGCAAGCTTGACAGAACGGATTTGATCAGTGTTAGTCTTCCGGCAAAAGAGAGATACCTTCTCTTCCACGAAGCTAGTTTACTCTTAAACTTGTCTATCACAGGTTTCCAAGCAGCCTTTCTCCTCGGATTTGCTCCTAGTGGTAGCCCCAGATAACTCATTGGCAACTTTTGACGTAGGCAGTTTAGGTTTTGTGCCAGGACCTGAACAATATCATCCTGCACACCTACCCCACACACCTTACTTTTGTGGAAATTTATTTTGAGTCCAGACATCAACTCAAAGCACCTTAAAATTCTTTTTACGGCAATAACTTCCTCTCACTCCGCTTCACAAAAAATAATGGTATCATCGGCAAACTGCAAGTGTGTAATTTTCAACTCAGTTGGACCTGCAGATACTCCTCTAATCAAGCCCACTTCCTTAGCTCTTTCCAAGAGAATGTTCAGACCCTCCGCTACAATATTAAAGAGGAAAGGAGAGAGTGGGTCACCTTGCCTAAGACCCTTCATGGGCGAAAACTCCGAAGTAGGTGAACCATTGACTAGCACTGAGATACGAGCTGTGGATAGGCAAGTCTTCATCCACCCCACCCATTTCTCTCCAAAACCGAAATTTGTCATCATCGAATACAAGAACTCCCAATTTACAGAGTCATATGCCTTTTCAAAATCCAGCTTTATTAATAGGCCTTTCTTTTTTGACCTTTTCCACCAATCCACCACTTCATTGGCAATTAGGACCCCATCTATAATATGCCTTCCGCTCAAAAAAGCAGTTTGAACTTCACTAATAATCTTGGGTAACACTTTCCTCAACCTTCTTGACAAGACTTTAGCTACAATTTTGTATACAGAGCTGATCAAGCTGATTGGCCTATAGTCGCCCAACCCCACAGGGTTTTCCTTCTTAGGAATTAAGGTAATGAATGAACTATTTATTCCTTGAGCTAGCTTTCCATTAGAATGGAATTCATTCATCAATTGCACAAACTCACCTTTCATGACGGCCCAACATTGCTGGATACACTTTAGATTAAAACCATCCGGCC